TTCCTTCCTTCCTTCCTTCCTTCCTTTCTTTCGCCTCCCTGTGTCCATGTGTTCTCATTTTTCAACATCCGTCTATGAGTGAGAACATGCAGTGCTTGATTTTCTGTTCTTGTGTCAGTTTGCTGAGAATGGTGGTTTCCAGATTCATCCATGTCCCTACAAAGGACACCAACTCATCGTTTTTTATGGCTGCATAGTATTCCATGGTATATATGTGTCACATTTTCCTTGTCCAGTCTATCATCGATGGGCATTTGGATTGGTTCCAGGTCTTTGCTATTGTAAACAGTGTCGCTATGAACATATGTATGCATATGTCTTTATAATAGAATGATTTATAATCCTTTGGGTATGTACCCAGTAATGGAATTGCTGGATCAAATGGAATTTCTATTTCTAGGTCCTTGAAGAAGCGCCACACTGTCTTCCACAATGGTTGAACTAGTTTACACTCCCACCAACAGTGTAAAAGTGTTCCTGTTTCTCCACATCCTCTCCAGCATCCACTGTTTCCAGATTTTTAATGATCGTCATTCTAATTGGCATGAGATGGTATCTCAATATGGTTTTGATTTGCATTTCTCTAATAATCATTGATGATGAGCATTTTTTTCATATGTTTGTTGGCCTCATATACGTCTTCTTTTGAAAAGTGTCTGTTCATATCCTTCTCCCACTTTTGGACGGGTTTGTTTGTTTTTTTCTTGTAAATCTGTTTTAGTTCTTTGTAGATTCTGGATATTAGCTCTTTGTCAGATGGGTAGATTGCAAAATTTTTTTCCCCATTCTGTTGGTTGCTGGTTCACTCTAATGATAGTTTCTTTTGCTGTAGAGAAGCTCTGGAGCTTAATTAGGTCCCATTTGTCTATTTTGGCTTTTGTTACCAATGCTTTTGGTGTTTTAGAAGAAAACCTAGCAAAACTATTCAGGACCTAGGCATAGGCAAGGACTTCATGGCTGATGAAACATTTTAAATTAGAGATGCACCTCAGTATAGCCTGGGTGCCTTCCAGAATACAGATGGGCCCCACTCCAAGGCCAATTAGATTAGAATCTCCTGAAGTAGTAGTCAAGAATATGCACGGTTTTTGAAGACCCACAAATATTTCTGATTTGCTTGCCTTAATATAAACTACCAGGACAGTGGCAAGATCATTAGCTTTCTAGACTGATAGACCTGGAATGGAATTCCTTTCAAGTCTCTTACCTTTGTGGCTCTGGAAAATGCATTAATTTGTTGACTCTCCATTTCCATACTTTTAAACATGGAGATATAAACACCTGCTTTGCAGGGTTCTTGTGTAAAGGTGTAGGTAAAACATGTAGGACAGAGTAAATATCTTCAGGCGTCTGATAAGTAGCTTAAATACAGAAGTGTTGGAGATTATGGCTAATGGAAGAATGCAGCCTTGACAAAATGTTTCTTTCAAATTTATTTATTTAAAGAGACAGGGTCTTGTTATGTTGCCCAGGCTGGTGAGTCAGACTCCTGCACATAAGTGATCCTCCTGCCTCAGCCTCCTGAGAAGCTGGGACTACAGGTACAAGCTACCACACTTGACTTCAAAGTGTTTTTTGTATGTTTGGTTTGGGGTTTTTTTGGAGATACGGTCTCACTTTGTCACCCAAGCTGAAGTACAGTGGCATGATCATGGCTCTGCAGTCTCAAACTCCTGGGCTCAAGCAATCCTCCTGCCTCGGCCTCCCCAGTCACTGGGACTACAGGTATGCACCACCATACTGTGCTAATTTTTAATTTTTTCTCTCGTAAAGGCAGGGTCTCACTATGTTCGCCAGGGTCTCACTAGGTTCTCCTGGCTTCAAGTGATCCTTCTGTCTTGGCGTGCTAAAGTGCTTGTATTTCAGACATGAGCTACTATGCTTGGCTGAAAGTATATTTTTTAAAAACATTGAGCTGGCCTCACAAAATGTATCTGCAGGCATGACATCCAGTTTTACCTCTAACATAATGGTCAATAAAACAACAATTTTCGAGTGCTATATAAAATATAAACTGCTGAGTTATCTGGAAGTATTTTTCTAGCTCTGTGTAAAGTACTGCTGAATGCAGGATTACATATTGATTCAACAAATATTTAATGCCCATTAGGTAATAGCAAGTCCAAACAGAAATACTAAAAGAACTAATTCAAAGCATGTATAGCCAATAGGAAGAATAGATAAATTAAAATATGTCCTTTAGCAACAACATTAATACTACCAAAACTACCTTTCCAATTCTAATTTTGCGTTGACATTCTACCCAGGATTTGTGACTATCTGTATTCTTGTACTCCATTTTAAAAAATACTGCTTATAACTAGAAATATTTAAAATTTTAAATATTTCTTTTGTTTTAGAAACAATATATATTTAACATAGTAGTTAGTTGTGAAATAACGATGCTTGCTTAATTAATGAATGCTAAGTTTCCTTCCATGTCTAAGATTCTATGATTAGGGCCAGGCACAGTGGCTCATGCCTGTCATCCCAGCACTTTGGGAGGCCAAAGCGGGTAGATCACCTGAGGTCAGGAGTTCGAGACCAGCCTGGCTAACATGGTGAAACCCCGTCTCTACTAAAAATACAAAAAATAGTTGGGTGCGATGGTGCACACCTGTAGTCCCAGCTACTCGGGAGGCTGAGGCAAGAGAATCATTTGAACCTGGGAGTCAGAGGTTGCAGTGAACTGAGGTCACACCATTGCACTCCAACCTGGGCAACAGAGTAAGATTCCATCTCAAAAAAAAAAAAAAAAAAAAAATTCTGTGATTAGGAAACAAGAAATCTGTGGGATCATCAGTGAGAGGAACCTTTGACCAAAGGACTCATAGCTGTTTTTAGAACTAGAGCATTCCCCAGTGTATTCTGGGCACATTTCCTTTGTATGAGAATCGTTTCCCAACCCCAAAGTACAAAACCTGGCAGCTTTCTGACTCAGTTAAAATTGGGCTGCCCTCTGTCATTGTCATGGTCAGATTTTCTGAACTTAACTAAAATCTGAGCAAAATTATTTTATGACGCCCACTGCTAACACTTATTTCAAATCATAATGGCACCGCTCATTAGATCTGTGACCAGGGCAGATGATTGCACTCAAGTTCTAGGTTCCTCATCCTTAGAATGGTGACGGTGAAAATCGAGTAAGATTTGTCAGGAGGGTTAAATGAGATAAGGTTTGTAAAGCACTTCTATTAGCTTTTCAACCTAATAAAACCCCCGGCATATAGCAATATTCTGTAAATGTTGTCTAGTAGTTTGATTATTATTTTTCCTTCCACACAACTAGGGCCATTTTGTCCTTCAGCTCAGGAATCTTTACTGTCTCCGTAATTATCCATGCCAGGCATTTTTGCAGGAGGTATCGCTGCTTGCAGAGCAGCTGTTGAAGATTAGATGTGAACTTGGATCTGACTCAGCCCAAAGTCTAAGCACTTTCTATTTCCTCTCAACCATCACAAGGAGGAGGAAAATGCTCTGTGAGCAATACCGGCATCTTCTTTCATCTCTGTCATATTTTGGGTTTCTCCTTAAGGTTTTTACTTTTTAGGAAGGGCCCTGCAGATGCCAACAAAATGCGCCACATACACACACACCCTTGGAAAATACTCTGAGGTCAGGTGTGGTGGCTCATGGCTGTAATCCCAGCACTTTGGGAGGCTGAGGCAGGTGAATCACTTGAGATGAGGAGTTCAAGACCATCCTGACTAACATGGGGAAATCTTATCTCCACTAAAAAAAAAAATACACAAAAATTATCCGGGCATGGTGGTGGGTGCCTATAGTCCCAGCTACTCTGGAGGCCAAAGCATGAGAATCACTGGAGCCCGGGAAGCAGAGGTTGCAGTTAGCTGAGATCACGCCATTGTACTCCAGCCCGAGTGATAGAGTAAGACTCACTCTTAAAAATTAAAAATGAATGGATGATGGAGATATGGAAGGATGAAGAAAGAATAGAACGATAGAGGGAGTATCTTCCTGGTTAGATAAGCAGATGTTTTTCACTCCGTGGTTCTTGAGGCAATACTGTCATTTTATCATTCAACCAGACAGAGGTTGAAATTGCTCTTTCAGAAGGAGCCTCTGTTTTCTACTTTTCCAGGCTTTCTCTTATGATATTTTCTTGGTATCTGCCTCTAAAAATCTTAGGTTTTCTCCCAAAGCCATGCTTTCACATAGCCAACACCCAGTTTTCTTTATTCATACAACATGTCTCTAAGTTCCTATTTCTAGTGCTAAGCACAGTATTTGACATGAAGTCCTGTTCTTTTGTTCCCCTTTGACTAATATTTGGCTTATATTATCCAGCATTTTTTCATTGATATTTTCTTTCCGTAAATACATTGATGCCTGAGTGGCAGGCACCAGACCTGGGCTTGGACCTAGTCTTCAGAACTTTGTGCTTTACATCTAAATTTTATCTACATAACACACAGCTCATCTGTTGTGGATCTTTGTTCCCACTTTGTCAGCTAGGAGAACTGGAAAGGCACAAATCTATTTCAAATGGTCCATTTGAGCACTAAGTAAAATTTATTAATTGGTATCATAAAAGTGCAGTGTATTGTGTGGAAGTTCAAACATTTTTTAGAATGAGGAGCTCACATATGGCACAATTGGAAGCACTGGTGATCGCTAAAAATAAAATGCATATAAGTTTCACATCGGCTACTTATACTGTTACAAAGGGAATTAGGAGTAGTATATACAACCTTAAGAATACTTTGAGATATTGTCAACCAGACCATCACAATTGATCCAAAAATTTCACATAAAATTACCCTCAGTACTAACGCCTTAAACATTGGCAACACTTTTTTTTTTTTAATGAAAACTGAAAATATTGCTTTAGATGGAGGCTACCACCACTGATATAATCATGTTTATAATCAATAAATCCATTTTCTAATGCAAAAATGTGGATCTATGAGCTGATCAGTTGCTAAAATTTGAATGCATTTAAAGTTACAAACAATGGAAAAGGCCTTAAGTCTGACTCTGCCTTTAATATCCCACCTATCACTGTGAGGGCTCATCTGCACTAGCACGCTGGGGTTTATTGCAGCTTTCTGTCATCACTTACGTCATATAGGTGAGAAATGTGCTGAGGGGCTCCAGGGAATGATTCCGGAAATACTCAAATTCTCCACAGAGTCTTTTCCTCATCTCAGTGTCAATTTTGGAAACAGTAAGAGGATTTGTTTGATTAGCCAAAAAGTTACCATAATCAGTAGTCTGGAGATGAATTTTCAGATCTGAAATTAAATGAAACCCCAAATCAGGTTAAAATTTGAGCATATACAAATAGCTTTTTCAACATTAGTCGAATTCATGCTAACTTAATGGTACATACATACGTATTATGTTATTAGATTTTGATATAAGGTCTAAATATGATTTAGCAACAAACATTTAATGTGAATATGGATAATCCAGCACATCACAAAATGTGCTTTTCTTTTGTTTTGAGACAAAGTCTCCCTCTGTAGCCTAGGCAGGAGTGCAATCTCAGCTCATTGCAATCTCTGCCTCTGGGTTTACGTGATTCTCCTGCCTCAGCCTCCCGAGTAGCTGGGACCACAGGTGCATGCCAACAACAGGGTTTCACCACATTGGCCAGACTGGTCTTAAACCCTTGACCTTAAGTGATCTGTCCACCTTGACCTCCCAAAGTGCTGGGATTACAGACAGGAGCCACTATGCCCAGCTCACACAAAATATTTCAATTAAAGAAACCTGGTATTATTTAGCAGGTTAAAAAAAAAAAAACCTAACAAACATCTAATCCACAAACAGGTTTTGTTCATTTGGAGATAGCTACCTGGGAAACTGTTGAGGATACTAATGCTCCATCTCAGCTTGATGGAAAAGATAAAAAGATAAATGTATTCATGGTAGCTATCATGGGTGTGGGGCAGGTGGCATGGGCAGCCATCACTGCTCTGTGTCAGTATCCTTTTATTACAGATGAAGAAAATGAAGCTCAGTGGGACTAAATCGTGGCGTTATCTAATGAGATTGAAGTAGGAGATTAGTCCCCTTATTCTTATAACCCAGAATCATTTCCACCAGACCATGCCATGCATCCTTTAAATGTCATCCATTTTGGTTGCCAGGCAATTGGCTTGAACTGAATTCCCTGTTTGTGGATTGTCACTTCCTCCTGAACAAGCCATGTGTTTTCTAGCATCCATATTTCAGTAAATCCTGACCCAACACCACTCTAGAATTTCTTCCTGCACCCCTTTGCAGATTAGCTTATTATAATGTACCCTTCAAAGTCTGGTTGTAACATTAAAATAATAGTTACCAGTGACCGAGTGCTTATTAGGTACCAGGTATTGTACTAAGGTTGTATTATCTCATTTAATACTCATGGTAATTTTATAAGGTAAAAATGATTTCTATGCCTTTGTACAGATAAGAACGCTGAAGCTCAGAGAGGCTAGTAACTTGTTCAAGGGCCGGGCGCAGTGGCTCACACCTGTAATCCCAGCATTTTGGGAGGCCAAGGCGGGTGGATCATGAGGTCAGAAGTTCAAGACCAGCCTGACCAACATGGTAAAACCTCATCTCTACTAAAAAATACAAAAATTAGCCAGGTGTGGTGGTGATCGCCTGTAATCCCAGCTACTTGAGAGGCTGAGGCAGGAGAACGGCTTGAAGGTGGGAGGTGGAGGTTGCAGTGAGCCAAGATTGTGCCATTGCACTCCAGCCTGGGTGACAGAGCAAGACTCCATTTCAAAAAACAAAAAAATCCAAAAAAAAAAACTTCTTAAAGATCACATAAATTAAAAAATAAAAAAAGATCATATAGATAAACTGTGATTCAAACCCAGGTATAACTGACTTCAAAGTCACTTAAAACTTTATTTTACTGCCAACCAATGCAATTAGATTATCATTTGCTCTGTAAAGACTTAATTATCGCAGGCAGAACTATTCAATCTCACTCATCTGAATTTGAAAGTACTTTGATGAAACCTCTAGTGTAACACCTATTATAGGATATTATATAGTCTTAGGCATGTTAACCCAGAAGGCAGTTACGCTATCTTAGTTATATCTGTGACTCCTTGTGCAATACCCAACATGTAAGTGTTATTGTATATCCGAGTATCTAAAATGTTCTTGGCAACATCCAACACACATATGGAGCTTATCAGATCTTTCATTCAAACATTTATTAAGCATCTATTATGTGCTGCCAACTACAGGAGACCCAAAGATAGACGAGACATATTCCTTGTCCCCAAGGAAACTCACTGTTTGGTAAAGGAGGAGGCAGCCACAGATGATTCAAACAATGTGTTAATTCAGTGATAAAGATAAGGTCCTTTATTTATGGGAACACAGAAAATGAGACCCAGCTTAGGAAAGTGTCTTGAAGGAGATGAGCCTTAAAATGCTATGTAAGAGTGGAGGAAGAGGGGAGAAAGAGTAAGAACAGAGGCAGGCATTTGATGACTTAGTACAGATATGGTGTGTGCAGGGAGCTTAAAGCAGTTCAGTGTTGCTGAAGCATTAAGCAGGAGAGAAAGGAATTTAAAATAGAACTCCCATATGATCTAGCAACCTCATTACTGGGTAAGTGTCTGTGTTATATATATATATATGTGTGTGTGTGTGTGTGTATATATATATATATATATATATATATATAAACACACATATATATGTGTATATATATATTGAAATCAGTATGTTGAAGAGATATCTGTACTTCTACATTCATTATAGCATTGCTCATGACAGCTAAGACATAGAAGCAACAACCTAAGTACCCATCAACAGATGAATAGAGAAAGAAAGGTAGTATAAATATACCATAGAATACAGTTCAGCCTTCAGAAAGAAAGAAATCCTGTCATTTGGGACAACTCAGAAGTAGAGAGTAAAGTAGTGGTCACCAAAGGCCAAGGAGTGGGCCAGGAGTGGTGGCTCATGCCTGTAATCCCAGCACTTTGGGAGGCAGAGGGGGGAAGATCCCTTGAACCCAGGGGTGTGAGGCTGCAATAAGCTATGATTGCGCCACTGCACTCCAGCCTGGGCGACAAACCAAAAACCTGTCTCTACATTAAAAAA